AAAAAAAAAAAAAAAAAAAAAAAAAAAAAAAAAAAAAACTTAGTAGAATAAAACAACCATTTTATTAACCTGACAAGTTTGGGGTGAGCAATTCAGACAGGATGGCAGGGATGGCTTGTCACTGCTCCAAAATATCTAGGAACTCAGCTAGGGACACTTGGAGGCTGCAAGCTGAAAACTTTTAGAGGTTCATTCCCTTACATGCCTGGTGGTTGATGCTGGCTATTGGCTGGGGTCTCAGATGGTCCTGCCATCTGAAATATTTTTTATTTATTCATTTAATTTTGAGATAGGGTCTCACTCTGTTGCCCAGGCTGGAATGCAGTGGTGCAACCATAGCTCACTGCAGCCTTGAACTCCTGGCTTCAAAGGATACTCCCACTTCAACTTCCCAGAGTGTTGAGATTATAGGCATGAGCCACTGCACCCAGCTTGGGAGAGTAATTAGGGTACACTTCTTAATGGGAAAATTCTAGAATAGCAGGATCACTCTGATCCTCTCCAGAGTGGGTCAGGAGATACTGTTGTAGCCAACTTTGGAAAATGTAATCCAGGCTGGGCATAATCACAGCACTTTGGGGGGTTGAGATGGGAGAATCAGTTGAGGCCAAGAGTTTGAGACTAGCCTCGGCAACATAGCAACACCCAGTCTACCCAACTTTACAAAATTGTTTTTAAAATTAGCTGGGTGTGGTGGTGCATATCTGTAGTCCCAGCTACCCTGGAGGCTGAGGTGGGAGGATCACCTGAGTCTAGGAGCTTGAGGCTGCAGTGAGCTATGATTGCACCACTACATATCAGCCTGGGTGACAGAGTGAGATCCTCTCAAATAAAAAAAAAAGAAAAAGAAAATATAATCTGGGTTCGTGCCTGTGATCTCAGCACTTTGGGAGGCCCAGGTGGGCGGATCACGAGGTCAGGAGTTTGGGACCAGCCTGGCCAACATAGGACGGGCCAACATAGGACGGGGTTTCACCATGTTGGCCAGGATGGTCTCCATCTCCTGACCTTGTGGTCCACCCACCTCGGCCTCCCAAAGTGCTGGGATTACAGGCGTGATCCAAATATATATATTTATATATATATATAATCTGAAAATACAGCTTGCCACAAGAAGAAATTAGAAATTTTAATCTACACTATCTGCATGGTCCAGGAAATGCTTGATCTATAAATTAACTTAATTAGGCCCTGGTTGTTAGCACCTGGGGACTCCAGGCAGCAGCAAATGCAAATCCACTCTGGAGAGTGACGCTCTGGACCTAGATCTCACAGAATTCCCACAGATGATCACACTTGTACAATCAAAAATTACAAAACAAATGAAGACACCACCTGCTGGGAACAGGACTTTGTTTAAGCAATAGAGAACAGAAATTGGCCCTTTCCTTACCAACCCCTGGCCAAGACTCTTAAGAACTGCAGGGAGAGAGAGCATTGCAGGAGGGCCAGGGAAGACAATGGTGGCCAGGATCTGATGCCAACAGGGAGCTCGGGGGAGGTTCTCTTTCAGATCCAGTTTCTCATCCTCACATTGATTCTACCGTCCTTAGGTAACTTCCAGGCAGGAGAGGATGGTCGGATTCTGAAACGTTTCTGTCAATGTGAGCAGCGCAGCCTGGAACAGCTGATGAAAGACCCGCTGCAGCCTTTCGTGCCTGCCTACTATGGCGTGGTGCTGCAGGATGGCCAGACCTTCAACCAGATGGAAGACCTCCTGGCCGACTTCGAGGGCCCCTCCATTATGGACTGCAAGATGGGCAGCAGGTGGGGCTGGGGCAGGGGGTGGGCATTATTGAAAATAGTACCCAGTCCATTTTTCAAGTGGTTGGACCAGTGTAGCTTCCCACCACCATGTATGAGTGTTCCAGTTTTCCCAGTCATCCCAGATTCTCACCGGTACTTGGTACTGTTTTATTAACTTAAGCCATTCCAATGGGTTTGGAATAGTATCTCTCTGTTTTTTTTCCTTTGAGACAGAGTCTTACTCTGTCACCCAGGCTGGAGTGCAATCTTGGTGCAATCTTGGCTCACTGCAACCTCTACCTCCTGGGTTCAAGCGATTCTCCGACATAAACCTCCCAAGTAGCTGGGATTACAGGCGCCTGCCGCCATACCTGGCTAATTTTTGTATTATTAGTAGAGATGGGGCTTTACCATGTTGGCCAGGCTGGTCTCAAACTCCCAACCTCAGATGATCTGCCTGCCTTGGCCTCCCAGAGTGCTGGGATTACAGGTGTGAGCCACCATGCCCGGTCTGCAAGAAGTGGACTCTAATTGTTCTCGCAAGCTGGGCGCAGTGGCTCACGCCTATAATCCCCCCTACACACACACACACACACACACACACACACACACACACACACTCACACACACACATTTTCTCACTCTCCAACTCTCCCGTTTCAGTCTTTTAATAGTCTTTTGATAAACATCTTTTGATAAACAAAAATAGCATTTTTATTATCATTTTTTTTTGAGACAGTCTCACTCTGTTGCCCTGGCCGAGGTGCAGTAGTGTGATCACAGCTCACTGTAGCCGTGAACTCCTGGGCTCAGGTGTTCCCCTCACCGTAGTCTCCAGGGTAACTGGAGCTATGGATATGCGCCACCAGGCCTGGCTATTTTTTATTTTTTGTAGAGACATCTCCCTGTGCTGCCCAGTTGGTCTTGAACTCCTGAGCACAAGTGATCCTCCTACTTCTGCCCCCTGAGTCGCTGGGACCATAGGCACATACCGTCACGCCTAGCTAATTTTCAGTTTTTTTTGTAGAGATAGGCTGATTAGGAAAAACTCTGAAACCATGTTTTTCCTCTACTCTCATACCACTGCCACAACAATGACAGCACAGAAGACTTCTGTGGCCAGATATGTAGAGGTTTTTATTTGTTTGGTTTTTTTTTTTTTTTGAGACAAAGTTTTGTTCTTGTCACTCAGGCTGGAGTCCAGTGGCTCCATCTCAGCTCACTGCAACCTCCGCCTCCCAGGTTCAAGCAATTCTCCTGCCTCAGCCTCCCAAGTAGCCGGGATTACAGGCGCCTGTCATCACACCCAGCTAATTTGTGTGTTTTTGGTAGAGACGGGGTTTCACCATGTTGGCCAGGCTGGTCTTGAACTCCTGACCTTAGGTGATCCACCCGCGTCGGCCTCTGAAAGTGCTGGGATTACAGGCGTGAGCCACTGTGCCTGGCCATGTATAGATTTTTTAATCCCACACACCAAGCAATGGATGCCAGTTGGGTGCCCTCCAATTCAATCTACCTGGAAATAATGTCAGATCCCACAGGTTGGGGGCTCAGTCCCCAAGACTGCCCCCAGACACAGACACCAGTCACAAGTCCAGGCCTCCTGAACTTCCGACTGATTGGCTCCAACCCATGACCTCCTCTTTGGGTTCAATTAATTTGCTGGAGTGGCTCAAAGAACTCAGGGAAACACTTAACTTTACTGGTTTACTATAAAGCAGAGGTCCCCAACCCCCGGACCATGGACCAGTACCGGTCAGTGGCCTCTTAGGAACGGGGCCCCACAGTAGGAGGCCAGCGAGCATTACCACCTGAACTCTACCTCCTCTCAGACCAGTTGCGGCAGGAGATTCCGGGAGGGTGAACCCTACTGTGAACTGTGCCTGCCAGGGACCTAGATTGCCCGCTCCTATGAGAATCTAACCAATGCTTGATGACCTGAGGTAGAACAGTTTCATCCAGAAACCATCCCCCTCACAGTCCGTGGGAAAAACTGTCTTCCATGAAACCAGTCCCTGGTGCCAAAAAGGTCGGGTGCTGCAACAAAGGATACTGGAAAAGATGAAGAGATGTGTAAGGCGAGGGATGGGGGAAGGGCCGCAGAGCTTCCACACCCTCCCTGGGTGCACCACCCTCAAGGAACCAGTCCTTGGGTTTTAATGGAGGTTTTAGGACACCAGCACTCCTTCCCCCAGGGTATAGAGTGGGACCCTCTCTGGGGAGGGTCCTAAGACCCCAGGCAGGAAGGTGGGGAAAGAGTCCTGCCTTGGGGCAGGTGAGTCCTGCCTTGGGGCAGGTGAAAGGAGGGCAGAAGAAGATCAGAGAGATTGTGGTTTCTTGAGGTCTAACACACCCCACATTATAATAATAAAAGATTGTGGCCGGGCGGGGTGGCTCAGGCCTATAATCCCAGCACTTTGGGAGACTGAGGCGGGTGGATCACTTGAGGCTGGAAGCTCAAGACATGCCTGGGCAACGTGATGAAACCCTGACTCTACTAAAAAAATACAAAAATTTGCCAGGCGTGGTGGTGCAGTCTTATAATTCCAGCTACTCAGGAGGCTGAGGTGGGAGGAGCGCTTGAACCTGAGAGGCAGAGGTTGCAGTGAGCCAAGATCACGCCACTGTACTCTAGCCTGGGCAACAGAGCAATACTCCGCACTCCCTCCCCCAGCCCCCGCCAAAAAAAAGGCCTGACGCAGGTAATCACACCTGTAATCCCAGCAAGATTATAGCAAGGGCTATGGGAGTTACGAGCCAGGAACCATGGACGAAAACCAAAATACATCTTAACTAACACCACACAGGGTCTCGCTATGTTGCCCAGGCTGATCTTAACCTCCTGGGCTCAAATGAACCTCCTGTCTTGGCCTCCAAAAGTCCTGGGATTATAGACATGAGCACCTGGCCTTACCTTTCAGTCCAGTTTGTCAGTTTTTCTCTTTGTGTTTAAGAAATCTTTTCGTACTCCAAGCTCATGCAAATACGTTTTCTTCTACAAGCTTTATTGTTTTAGCTTTTACATTTAGACCTACAATCTGGCTAGAATTAATGTTTATGTGTTGGGGAGGTAGGGATCAATATGGATATCCTGTTGACCCAGTGCCTTTTATTGAAAAGACTTCCCAGCCTGGCGAGGTGTAATCTCAGCACTTTGGGAGGCCTAGGTGGGTGGATCACCTGAGGTCGGGAGAATCTCGTCTCTACTAAAATACAAAATTAGATGGGTGTGGTGGTGGGGGGACTGTAATCCCAGCTACTCGGGAGGCTGAGGCAGGAGAATTGCTTGAACCTGGGAGGCGGAGGTTGCGGTGAGCCAAGATTGTGCCATTGCACTCCAGCCTGGGTAACAAGAGCCAAACTCCGACTCAAAAAAAAAAAAAAGACAAGACTAGACTTCCCTTTCCCCACTGAATTGCAGTGTGTTGTCATAAACTGCACGACTTGCAGTGTGTGTCCCTGTGGACTCTTGTATTCCGTGCATCGATCTGCCCATTCTTGTGCCACACTGTGGCTTTATGTCTCAATATCAGGAAGGATAAGCCCTCCAGCTTTGTCACAATTTCCTTTGTCACATCCTCTGTGTGCTCAGGACCTACCTGGAAGAGGAGCTGGTGAAGGCACGGGAGCGTCCCCGTCCCCGGAAGGACATGTATGAGAAGATGGTAGCTGTGGACCCTGGGGCCCCTACCCCTGAGGAGCATGCCCAGGGTGCGGTCACCAAGCCCCGCTACATGCAGTGGAGGGAAACCGTGAGCTCCACCTCCACCCTGGGCTTCCGGATCGAGGGCATTAAGGTGAGGGCCAGGAGCGGCCTGTCCTGTCCCAGGAAGGCCTAGAGCCAGATCCCAGGCAGGGCTTCTTGGGGAAAGCAGGGAGAGAGTATGGGAGACAGCAGGGGATGAAAGGCTGGGGCTGGGGCGGCCCAGCCTCTCTTACCCCCACACCCATCAGAACCCATGTTCTGTTTATCTGTCTGCCTGAGTATCTCCTGAGTCCATCTTTTTCTTCTCTCCTTCTTCATGGTCACATCCTAGTCCAGCCCCTTCTTCTCCTGCCTCCATCTCCCTCGGTGTGCCGGCCCTGATCTCCCTGCAGCACAAGAGCTGGAGGGACCCCTTTCCCCCAGCTATGGAGGTTTCTCTTTTTCCTTCGGCATTCCTTTTTCTTTCTTTTTTTTTTTTTTACCACAACCTCTGCCTCCCGGGTTTAAGCGATTCTCCTGCCTCAGCCTCCCAAGTATCTGCGATTATAGGCATGCACCACTATGCCCAGCTACTGTATTCCTTTTTCTTTGGAAAATTAAATATAATTGTTTGAATAGGTCACGTATGGTGGCTCATGCCTGTAATCCCAGCAGTCTTGGAGGCCAAGGCAGGAGGATTGCTTGAGGCCAGGAGGCGTTCAGGACTAAGCTGGGTAACATAGGGAACCTCTGCTTTCTAGAAGAAAAAAAATTGCTTGAATAGCTAGTCACATAGTTCAAAAGTCAAATAATATTATAAAAGGGTAAATGTGGAGAAATTTCTCTCCCAACCCTGCTGTTGTCCTCCCCATTCTGTCCCTTCTCTGCCTGCTCGTGGGGAACCACTTTACGAGTTTCTTGTGTTTCTTCCTGACACTGCAAGTAAATGCAGTTATATATCCTAAATGTCCCTCAGTATGCATACTGATTACTACTTTGTTCTTTTCACTTCATAGTAACATCTGGACTGGGCGCGGTGGCTCATGCCTTAATTCCAGCACTTTGGGAGGCCGAGGTGGGCAGATCACAAGGTCAAGAGATAGAAAAACCTCGTCTCTACTAAAAATACAAAAATTAGCTGGGCATGGTGGTGCATACCTGTAGTCCCAGCTACTCGGGAGGCTGAGGCAGGAGAATCGCTTGAACCTGGGGGGCAGAGATTGCAGTGAGCTGAGATCACGCCACTACACCGACAGAGCAAGACTTCATTTCAAAAAAAAAAAAAAGAAATTGTAACAACCTGGAGAGTTTTCCACATCATTCCCTAGACAGCCTCCTCTTTCTTACTGCTTTTTTTTTTTTCCCCACAGTTATGTCACACTCTCTTTGTGAATGTGCCATGGTACCCTATAGACAGACACCTGGGTTATTTCCATTTTTTGCCATTACCAGGCCTCAAAGAATCACATTGTACATAAAACATTTTGCAAGTATGCAGATTTAGCTGTAGATCAGATTTCCAGAAGCAGCACTACTGGCCAAAGACTAAAGGCGTAGCAATTTGCTAGAGATGACCAAACTTCCACTATCGGTGTTATGCCGCTGCACATCCTACCAGCCATGTGTGAGAATGCCTTTTTCGGATCTGACCCTGCCATTTTCCTGTTCAAAACCAGCAAAGTTCCACAGCCTGTAGGGCCCTCTGGGATATAGCTTCGTCTCTCCCTCATTCTTCTCTTTTCTTTTTGAGTCGGAGTCTCACTGTCACCCAGGCTAGAGTGCCACGGCACAACCTCAACTCACTGCAACCTCCACCTCCCGGGTTTAAGCAATTCTCCCACCTCAGCTTCCCGACTCAGTGCAATTACTGGCATGCACTATCACGCCTGGCTAATCGTTTGTATTTTTAACAGAGATGGGGTTTCACTATGTTGGCCAAGCTGATCTTGAATTCCTGGCCTCAAGTGATCTGCCTGCCTCAGCCTCCCAAGTGCTGGGATTACAGGCGTGAGCCACCGCGCCCGGCCTCTCATTCCTCTCATTCTCTTTGTGTACCTTCAGGCACAGTGAAGCACTTTCATTTCCTTGAAATGGGCCTGCTTTTTCCTGCCACAAGGCCTCTGCACCCCTCTGCCAGGAATGCTCTTATTGATTGATTGATTGAGATGAGGTTTCGCTCTGTCATTTCGCTCTGTTGCCCAGGCTGGAGTGCAGTGGCACGATCACAGCTCACTGCAGCCTCAATCTCTGAAGCTCCAGTGATCCCCTTACCTTGGCCTCCTGAGTAGCTGGGACCACAGGTGCATGCCACCACACCCTGGTCTCTTCCCACTATGTCCCCTGGTTGATTCTCAGTCATTTTTCTGTCTCCTTTCAAATTTTGCCTCCTCAGGGAAGCCCTCCCTGATTTTCATTCTACTAGATCAGCATCCCCTCTTCGCCTCCTCATAGCTCCTTATTCTCTTTCATTATTCTTATCTTCCTTTGCGATGATCTTAATCATGGTCTGCCTCCCTCATCTGACTGTGTCTGTCCTGTTACCCTCTATTGCCAAGTTCCCCTGTAGCACCTGGCACAGCGTGGCAGATGACTTAGGTGGCTTCTCTGAGCCCCTCTCAAACATAACAAATAATGTTAGTTTCATTAGTCTCAAATAACTATATGCCGGGCACTGTGCTGTGCATCCTACACACCCGATGTCCTCTAATCCTTACACCAGCCTTAGCAAGTAGACACCAACACAATTCCCATTTTCCAGATGAGGAAACTGAGACTGAGGCAGGTGAAGTGACTTAGGACCGCCCACCTAGAAAAGACCAGAGCTACAATTCAAAGCCAGCTCCACCCCCTCCTCCAAAGCCCACTTTGCTAGATGGGTTCCACCGGGAGGTTCAAAATTGGAAGGGTGTGGAAGGACTGAGGCACAGGCATGTAACCTGGGGCTGAGTTGAGCAGGCAGGCCGGCCTCTTCCTTGGGCAGCAATCGTGCAGGCAGGTGGTTGGCCCTGGGAAGTTGTTTTTTTTTTTGAGACAGAGTCTTGTTCTGTTGCCCAGGCTGGAATGCAGTGTCGCAATCTCTGCTCACTGCAACCTCTGCCTCCCAGGTTCAAGCGATTTTCCTGCCTTAGCCTCCTGAGTAGCTGGTATTACAGGCGCCCACCACACCTGGTTAATTTTTTGCAAATTTGTAGAGACAAGGCTTTGTCATGTTGCCCGGGCTGGTCTTGAACTCCTGACCTCAAGTGATCTGTCCACCTCGGCCTCCCAAAGCACTGAGATTACAGGCATGAGTCACCACGCCTGGCCTCCTGGGAGGTATTTGAGGTTGCTGGGTATTGGGTATGGGAAGGAAAATGCCATGACCCTGTCCCTCCACACCCTGCCCTGCAGAAAGCAGATGGGACCTGCAACACCAACTTCAAGAAGACACAGGCACTGGAGCAGGTGACGAAGGTGCTGGAGGACTTCGTGGATGGAGACCACGTAATCCTGGTGAGCGGGACACCCATGTCCCAGAATGTAGCAGCTTAAGACAGCCACCATTTATTCTTGCTCCAAAGCCTGTGGGCTTCTGCTTTGGGCGGGGCTGGACTGATACTGGCTGGCTTTGCTCAGTCTGAGGTCAGCTGGTGGCTTGGCAAGGCTGGCTGGTCCAGGGTGGCCCTGCTCCCAGCTCTGCTGGTTGGCTCATGACTTGGCCACATGTCTCTCGACAGCAGGATGGCCTGGGCTTGTTCTCACTTGTTTCACTTGCCAAGAGAACAAGTGAAAATGCAAGGCCTCTTGATGCCTGGGCTCAGAATGGCCACCGTCATCTCTGCTATTCAGCAAGTCTTGTGACCCAGCCTGGATTGAAGGGTCCGGGAGACAGACTCCACCTCCGAATGGGAGTAGAAATTCATGGAATCCACCACTATTGTCCGTGCCACCTTGATGAATCCAAGCCCTCACTCCTCCACCCTGTCTTCCCCGTGGCTCCCCTCTTCCTTCCTGGCTAGAGCCTGCCTACGTCTTTGGGGGCAGGGGGTGAGGTGAGAGCTCAAGGTGGGTCCCCATGCTAACCAAAGAACCCTCCCTGTCACACAGCAAAAGTACGTGGCACGCCTAGAAGAACTTCGTGAAGCTCTGGAGATCTCCCCCTTCTTCAAAACCCACGAGGTGCGAGCGCTGGCCGCCATGGGTGGATGTGGGGGTGTTGGGGTCCAGGTGCATAGAGTGGAAATCATTGATGAATGACAGGTCAAAGATATAAAAAGGGGCTGGGCGTGGTGGCCGACACCTGTAATACCAGCACTTTGGGAGGCCAAGGTAGGAGGCTTGCTGGAGCCCAGGAGTGCCAAGACCAGCCTGGGCAACATAGCAAGACCCCATCTCTATTAAAAAAGAAAAAAATGCCTGGTGGGGTAGTGTGCACTTGTGGTCCCAGATACTCGGGAGGCTGAGGCTGGAGAAGTGCTTGAGCCCCAGAGGTTGAGGGTTCAGTGAGCTGTGATCATGCCACTGTACTTTTGTCTGGGTGACAGAGCAAGACCCTATCTCAAAAAATAAAGCAGGCATGGTTCATACCTGTAATCCCAGCACTTTGGGAGGCCGTTTGCACTCCAGCCTGGGCAACAAGAGTGAAACACTGTCTCAAAAAGAAACATAAAATAAGATAGACCAGGTGTGGTGGCCCATGCCTATAGTCCCAGCACTCTGGGAGGCTGAGGCAGGAGGCTGACTTGAACCCAGGAGTTCGAGAGCAGCCTGGGCAACATAATGAGACCCTGTCTCTACAAAAAAATAAAAAATAAGGCCAGGCGCGGTGGCTCACGCCTGTAATCCCAGCACTCTGGGAGGCTGAGGCAGGTGGATCTCCTGAGATCGGGAGTTCGAGACCAGACTGACCAACATGGAGAAACCCCGTCTCTACTAAAAATACAAAATTAGCCAGGTATGTGGCATATACCAATAATCCCAGCTACTCGGGAGACTGAGGCAGAAGAATCGCTTGAACCTGGGAAGATGAAGATGGAGGTTGCAGTGAGTCGAGATCTTGCCATTGCACTCCAGCCTGGACAACAAGAGCAAAACTCTGTCCCAAAAAATTAATTAACTTAATTAAATTAAAACGGCGTCTACTGAGAGCTGACTGCCAAGCACCCAATGAGCAGGGGCTGGTACCGTTATCCCCATTCTACAGAAAAGGAAACCAATTATCAGTAGCAGTCCACGGGGCCTGGGAAGTTGCTGTTTCTTTCTAGGTGAAGGCATTATCCAATTTCTAGTTTTTTTAAAAAATTTTTTTGTCAGAGTCAGGATCTCATTCTGTTGCCCAGGCTGGAGTGCAGTGGCATGATCATAGCTAACTATAGCGTCAATCTCCTGGGTTCAAGTGATCCTCCTGTCTTGGCTTCCTGTCGCTGGAACTACAAGTGTGCCTTACCACGACCAGCATTCCAATTCTTTAGTCTTTACCAGGCTGTCTTCACTCATTCTGGGTCCTGAAGGCATTTGAGTTTGCGCTCTGGCTTAGTAAAGGCCAGGCACAGTGGCTTATGCCTATAATTCCAGCAGTTTGGGAAGTCGAGGCAGGAGGATTGCTTGGACAAAGGGATGCTTCCCATCCCAGGTGGGACAGAGCAGGATGGAACCAGATTTCAGCACAGTACTTACAACACTGTGCAAGTAAAGACTTACCAATTGTTTATTTCTGGAATAAATTTAATATTTTTGAACTGCAGTTGACTGAGAGTAACTAAAACCAAAGAAAATGAAACCACGGGCGGAGGGAACTAAGTCTATTCCTCTCACTTGGACTGTGAGGACGCAAAACCACAGAGAGGTTAAGACACCTGCCCAAGGCTGCATAGCCAGGAGGTGGCATAGCCAGGATCTGAACTCAGGCAGCCAAGGCTCCAGGGTTCATGCTGTCAGCCACCCTGCTCTGCTACCTGTCAGCAGAGGACCTTAGCCAGCACCTGCTCCTCCCCTAACCTCCCATCTCTTCCCCCGGCAGGTGGTGGGCAGTTCCCTCCTCTTCGTGCATGACCACACCGGCCTGGCCAAGGTCTGGATGATCGACTTCGGCAAGACGGTGGCCTTGCCTGACCACCAGACACTCACCCACAGGCTGCCCTGGGCTGAGGGCAACCGTGAGGATGGCTACCTCTGGGGCCTGGACAACATGATCCACCTCCTGCAGGGGCTGGCACAGAGCTGAGCTGCTCCGCCACCGCCAGGTTTACTAATTGGATGGCACCAGTCTGGCTGGAGGAGTCCCGAGATGCCATGGGGGGCCTGAGGTTGGCCAGGGACGGGAGAGGTTGTCATGTGCCACATGAGACTAATGTGGAAGGGTCTGAGGGGCCTTGGGAGACCAGGGAGCACCTGGCCCATCATGATGCAGGGGCTGTGGGGACCTGGAAGGAACATGATGAGGCAGTGAGTCAGAAAAACTAGAACGGGGTCCTCTGATCTGCCGGGAAAGTTTCTGAGGGGCTGCCAGAGGCCACAGCAAAAGCATGCTGCCCTGAGAGCACTCAGTTCAGATGTCAGAGGGACAGCGTGACGGGGGCCTAAGGCTACATGAATCACCTATGATCGGCCTCCCTGTCAGCCTCCAGGCTGCCGGTTAGCTGAGGCCGGGGACTGGGTCAAGCATCATTGGTGAACGGAACGAGGCACCACTGGACCATTTGGGGAAAGTGACAGTCCTGTGCCTTCACTGGGGATCCATTTGAGTGCTGAGCAACAAAAGGCCCAGAGGGCATTATCTTATGGGACTGGACGCAGCCTGAGGGCTGAGACCTCTGGGCGGGCACAGTTCACTGAGGTCCTGCCCTGCCATGGCCCTGTGGGATTCTCCGTGTTCCTCAGAGGACTCTGCTGACCTCCTGCAGACCCAAACCACAGCCACATACCAGCTACCGTGCCAGCACTGCGCCAGCAGAAACTTGCTCCTCTGCACATCGGATCCGGCCTCAGGCTTCTCTCTCCTTTCTCAGCCAACAGCAGTGGCAGAAAAGAGGTTGGGAGGCAGGGAAAGCAGGCTTCCCCCTGCCTCTCAGAGCTGCTGCGCTCAGGACCCCATCCAATCCCAGGCCCCTGCAGGGAAAAGCACAGGGTATGTGTCAGAGGCCAGGGTGGGTGGGGCTGCCGGCCACAACCCTGGCCTGCAGCCTGGTCCAAACCAAAGACTGTAGAACCCTGGGGTGTGGCTAACAGCCCCTCCATCCCCCTCCTGCAGCACCCACAGCTAGGTCTTCCTGGCCCACGAGGCTGGGCTGGCGGACAGGTACCTACCTCTTCCCTAAGCTGAAGCTCCCACACTGTCTTCCAGGGCCGAGGGGACGCTCTCCTTTTCTACTGACCATCCTGATACTTATTTATATGAGGCAGTTGCTGGACGGGGTAGTACTGGAAGCAGGAGGCAGAATAGCTCTGCTGAGCCTCCCGCCCATGACGACACCCCAATAAACAGGACATTCAGAGTCAATGTCATGAAGCTTTTTCTTTTGCATCTGGAGTGTATTTCGGCAAAAGTGCTGGGTGGAGTAACAAGATAACAAGCAGTGTGGGAAAGAGGCAGGCTCCGAGCAGGCCACTTCACTCACTCAGCAGATCTGTACCTCGGCAGCTATTCTTGTGCCTGGATGTATCGGACAATGCAGGGGACACAGTGGTGACCAAGGCTGCTCCAAGCCCTGGCTGGGATGGGGGATGCACAGGCAGGCTGATCAGGGCTGGGATGGTGACACACATCCTCTTTACCCTGTCACTGGTTAGAAACACTGCACTGTAGCTGGGTGAGGGGGCTCACACCTGTAATCTCAGCACTTTGCGAGGCTGAGGCATGGATCACCTGAGGTCAGGAGTTTCAGACCAGCCTGGACAACATGGCAAAGCCCCATCTCTACAAAAAATACAAAGGATTAGTCAGGCATGGTGTGCGCATGCCTGTAGTCCCAGCTACTTGCGGGGCGGAGACAGGAGAATCGCTTGAACCTGGGAGGTGGAGGCTACAATGAGCTGACATTGCACCACTGCACTCCACCCTGGGCGACAGAACGAGACTCTGTCTCAAAAAAACAAAAAAAGGAAATATGGCACTGTACAGTTTCCCTAAATGAGACTGGCTCAATTAGGGACAGAGCAGTGATCAAGACAGGCCTGTTCCTCCTATTTCAGAGTGGAGGGGGCAGGTATTCACAAAACTAGTAATCACACACACTTACTAGATATTTGTGTGGGTGGATAGAGAAGTTTGTGGTCAGCACCATAATGATCAGGGAGCCAGGACACAACCTGGCTGAGACACTGACTACCTAGCTTGAATCCTGACCCTGCCACTTGCTAGTCATGTGACCCTAGGCCAGCGATTCCACCTCTCCAGGCCTCAGTCCTGCCATCTGTCAAATGGGGGGCATCTAGCACCCCCCTTACAGGGCTGCCAGATCTGCAGAGTTAACACAGAGGGACTGACGCAGTTAACTGCTCTCAGATGGGTTTTAAAACAGTGAGGATGTGAGGTGGGGAGGGGTGCCTAGACTGGGGCTGACTAGTCCCTGAGGTAGTGATACCTGAGCCCCGATGCAGAAGTTAGGGAGTGATCCGCAGCAGAGGGCTGGAGGATGGACCCAATGCTCCGGGGATCTGAAAAGCCAGTATGACTGGCAGGGGGCAAGCATGAGGAAGAGCCTGGGCTAAGGAGGGGTGAGCTGAGGCTGGCACAGTGTAGTGTCCCTGTCCTGTGAGCAGCAGAGGGCCCAGGCAGGAGGCTTCTTAGATATCTAGTGAGGTGACAGAGGCGGTCCCCAGTGAGAAACAGACCGCTGTGACATTCAGATGGGATATGCAGACGCAGGGTCCTGCAGGGGGTGGCCCTGAGGTTGGGACAATGCCCAGGCCTGGAAGAGATGGAGCAGGGGTGGTCCTGATGAAGGATCCCTTGGCTGGAGGCCCGAGACCCAGCTCAGACCTTGGGGTCATCACACGTAGAGAAGTGGCGGCACACTTCAAATGGTGACTGAGCTAGGCTGCAGCCCGGGACCGCAGCCCTGGCTAATGGCTGCAGCCCTGCGGTCTGAGGAGCAGAGCCTGGCCGCAGAGGCCAGCCCGCACCCCACCCGCCGGCACTACATACACCCGGCCGTCAGTGGCCCGCGAGGGCGAGAAGTCCGTCAGCTGCAGGTTGCTCTCCCGGACTTGGTCGTAGTCCCACAGCTGATAGTGCCAACTCTTGCCCTGCTTAGACAGCAGGTAGACAGCTCCCGGGGAGCTCTCCTCTGGCAGGGATGGTGGCTGGCAGGGCGCGCCCAGCACTGGGTGGAATAGGCCCGGCAGCTCGGGGTCTTCAGTGTAGCCGAGACCTGGAACAGCGGGAACACCCAGCAGGATCCCTGGGGGAGAGGAGGAGTTGGTGAGTGGCAGTGACTGAGCCAGGACCAGCTGCACGCTAAGTTCCACCCCCTCCCAGCCCTCCAGGGTGGTGCGGCTTCCATTCCTAGGTTACAGTAACATTAGTGGCAGCCAGTGGAGTTGGGATTTGGACCCACCACGGCATCTGGCTCCAAAGCTGTAGGCGTTTTAAGTCTTGCCTTGCCTGGCCTGACAGCACAGGGAAGTGGGGAGGCAGCATTAGATGGAACACATGTGGTCACCCGGTCATCCCCAGCTGTCCAGGGAAGAGAGGCTCCAGGATGAGCTGGCAAGGCCACACAGCCATAAAGAGGCTGAGCAGAGCCTCCCCCGGACCCCAGACCTCCTGACATGGACCAACCTGGTATTCTTTCAGGCAGGCAGAATGAGGAAGATGGTGCTGGTAATGCTTACAGAGATGTCACATGCCAAGCCATTTTTTTGTTTTTTTGCGATGGAATCTTGCTCTGTTGCCCAGGCTGGAGTGCAGTGGCGCGATCTCAGCTCACTGCAACCTCCACCTCCTGAGTCCAAGCAGTTCTCCTGCCTCAGCCTCCCAGGTAGCTGGGATTTCAGACATACACCACCATACCTGGCTAATTTTTGTATTTTTCATAGAGACAGGGTTTCACCATGTTGGCCAGGCTGGTCTCAAACTCCAGACCTCAAGCGATCCAGTCACCTTGGCCTCCCAAAGTGCTGGGATTACAGGCATGAGCCACAGTGCCTGGCCAAGCCTTGTTCCAAGAGTGCTCCGTGCTCTGCCTACAAGGCAGTCTTATGAGGTGGGTACTATTGTTACCCCCAATTTTCAGATAGGGAAAACAGCGGCCCAGAGAGGTGACGATACCTGCCCAGAGTCATAGAACCTAGAGGTGGCCAGGCCAGGCCTGGAGCCCAGACTGTCTTGATCCTGAAATCTGCGCCCTAAGCTTCTGTTTGTAGAAGCTCCAGCTGGCGGACACCTCGGCCCCAGCCTGCCCGGTGCTATGCTAAGTGTCCTGTGGGGACAGGGATGCCCAGCTCTGGTCCTTGTCTTGAGAGTGCACAGCCTGGCTGGGGAGGCACTAGCACAAGGGATGAGAATGTCAGGAGGGTTAATGGAGGCCGGGGAGACCCGCGATGAGGGGTGCAGGGATGAAGGAGGGGAACCCACCTGCGCTCACTGCCCAGTGGGCCTTATAGCCCTTCCTCTGACACGGCTCATGGTTGAAATCCTCGTCGTAGCTGGTGCTGGCATTAAGGTAAAAACGATGGTGTGGCCCTGGGACCCACCCTTCGCTACCCTTGCCCTCCTCCCTCCCAGGCCCTGGATACGGGATGAGCAGGGGGTGTCCGGTGACCAGGTGCTGCAGGACGAGGTCTCTGTTGGGACCGCCCAGGCCACCAGAGAGCAGCTTAGCCTGGCAGCCCAACACCTCCTGGGCCAGCCTGCCCATGTCGGCCACTGCAGGGTGAGGGCACACAGAGGGGGCTCGCTGTGTGCGGCCAGCACCATACCGCGTTCCCACAGCGGGTGACACTTCCCACCCTCACCATGACCTTCCACCCCTTGGTACACATGCAGAAAACGAGGCACAAAGAGCATCAGTGGCTTGTCCATGGCCACAGCAAAGAGGTGGCAGAGATGGCTTTGCAACCCCGGCAGCCAGCTCGAGTCCATCTTGTAACCTCTCTGCTCTACCAGGCAGTGGGAAGGGCCCAAAGAATGGAATGAGATCCCGACTCGGCTGTCAGCACCCCACCCAGCCTCGTGAAGAGGTGACGGAGCACATGGTCACCCAACTCACCTGAGAACATCTCTCCCTGGGCCGTGTAGCCTCTTTCCATGGCTACCTGCACGAGTCTCTCCAGGGGGACGCCACTCGGAGGTGACAGGAGAGTACCTGCCATCCACAAGGCCACCAGCCCACATCTGGGGACAGACAGGCCTATGTCACAGCCCCTTTACCGGGAAGCTGGAGTGGGGAAACAGGTTTGCTTCCCTGGAGGAGTTCCCTCCTGTCTCCCAGGTCAGCAAGGGAGACCTGACTCCCCTTCAGGGGAGAGGACGGCCAAGGCCAGAGCCCAGGGCTGGAGGGCTGGGGGTGGAAGAGTGGGGAGAGGTCACCTCAGCTTGCTGGGAGGAGGTGCCAAGGTGGAGTTACAGAGATGGACTGGGCTTATTCATTCACTCATTCGATGTTCCAACTATGTTTACCATGCAGGCACCCAGGAGCCTGGGTGGAAAGTTCCCCCATTCCTTCCCTCCTCCCCCCACCAGGGAAAATCCACTCCCCTTCTCCTGATCAGTCCCTAAGAAGCCCAGCAAAGGGAGAATAAGGGCGGCAAAGAGGCTGCGGGTCCCGCATCGGGGCACGTACTGAGGGCCTTCTTGGATGAGGGACGGCAGGTCTGCACAGAAGAGGATCCACTGCAGGTCACCTCGGAACCTGAAGTAAAGCCATGCTCAGTCACCAGGGAGCCAGCTCTGAAGCACTTCCCACCTTGAGGTCTGGCTGGGAGTAGGGCAACCAGGGACGATGAAGGAAACACCAGCCTGGCTGTCCTAAGGCTGAGGGCGGTTCCTGGTTCAGTCACCGGCTTCCCCTCCCCTAGCCTCAGTTTCCTCATCTGGTTCGTGGGAAATGGTCCTCCTGCCTGCCTGCTCCCTGTTCTCTCTCAGTTAATGAAGGGTGAGGAGCAAAGGGTGGCACTTTGTAACCAGGAGCCAGAGAGGTTTATCTGAGTAAATTTCTCAGAGGGGTATCTGTATACCCAACTCTCTTTTTTTTGAGACAGGGTCTTGCTGTGTTGCCCAGGCTGGAGGGCAATACTGTAATCAAAGCTCACTTAAGCATTGACCTCCCAGGGTCAAGTGATCCTCCTACCTCAGCCTCCTGAGTAGCTAGGAGTATAGGCATGTACCATCATGTCAAGCTGATTCTTTTTATTTTATTTTTGAGATAGAGTTTCGCTCGTTTTGCCCAGGCTGGAATGCAACAGCACAATCTCAGCTCACTGCAACCTCTGCCTCCTGGGTTCAAGTAATTCTCCTGCCTCAGCCTCCCGAGTAGCTGGGATTACAGGTGTGTGCCACCACGCCCAGCTAATTTTGTATTTTTAATAGAAACTGGGTTTCACCATGTTGGCCAGGCTGGTTTTGAACTCCTGACCTCAGGTGATCCGCTCACCTCGGCCTCCCAAAGCGCTGGGATTACAGGCGTGAGCCACCATGCCCAACTCTTTTTATTTTTAGTAGAGATGAGGTCATGCTATATTGCCCAGGTTCCAAATTCTGCGATTTGTTTTTCCCTTCAAGTCTGTTTCTTGAGCTGTTCAACAGTGAAAATCCTTTAACTTTGGGAAAAACAACAACAACAACAAAAAAAAACCAGGTAACAACATGCTTAAGGTCTAAGATATCACCTTGATAATGAATCTTTGTACCCTGGGGGAGGACACTTAAGACAGTTTGGTTACTACAGCCCCCCCAGGGTTCAGAACAATGTGCTTATTATTCCCTTTTTTTTTTTTTTTGAGACGGAGTCTGGGCTTCAGTGAGCTGTGATCCAGCTACTGCATTCCAGCCTGGGCAACAGAGCTAGATCCTGTCCCAAAAACAAACAAACAAACAGCCTGGAGCCCTGCTGCCAGAGTTCAAACTGGACTCTTCCTCTTTTTCACACTGGCTAAGAGGCTTCACTTCTATGAGCCTCAGTTTTCTCATCAGGAAAATGAGACAATAATAGGTTTTTTTTTTTTGTTTTTTTTTTTTTGAGACAGAGTTTTGCTCTTGTCACCCAGGCTGGAGTGCAATGGTGCAATCTTGGCTCACCGCAAACTCCTCCTCCCAGGTTCAAGCAATTTTCCTGCCTTAGCCTCCCGAGTAGCTGGGATTACAGGCATGCACCACCACACCTGGCTAATTTTGTATTTTTAGTAGAGACGGGGTTTCTCCATGTTGGTCAGACTGGTCTCGAACTCCCAACCTCAGGTGATTTGCCCACCTTGGCCTCCCAAAGTGCTGGGATTACAGACATGAGCCACCACACCCAGTGACAATAAAAGTTTCTACCTCGAGGGGCGCGGTGGCTCAAGCCTGTAATCCCAGCACTTTGGGAGGCCGAGGCGGGTGGATCACAAGGTCAAGAGATCGAGACCATTCTGGTCAACACGGTGAAACCCCGTCTCTACTAAAAATACAAAAAATTAGCTGGGCATGGTGGCACGTGCCTGTAATCCCAGCTACTCT